CACACACACACACACACACACACACACACACACACACACACACTCACTCACTCACTCACTCACTCACAATCAATCAATCAATCAAACCCCTTTTTTGTTTGTTTATTTTGAAATTCTGCATCTGGTTTTTTTTAAAACACCTCATCCCCTGCAAAAAACAGAAATTCATTTCTTAAAAAAATACAGGTCAACTCAGGGACCACATCTCTCATGATAAAAAATGACAAAAGAAAATTCCTGTTTTTTTTTTTTTCTTTAAATCTAATTTAGTTTTTTATTTTTCAAAAATTCTAAACAAAGTCAGATTCCAAAAAAAAAAATAGGGGGTTGTAGGGCTTAAAATTCCCTACAACCCCATATATATATATTTTACCTATTATTTAATTCAGGAAAATTCTGGTAAAATCGGGCCCGCGACGCGGACCAAGACGGCCGCGGACGCGGCCACGTATGCGGCCTCCATCCAAGGTCGGCCCCGCGGACGCGTCTGCGGCTGTTTCATAGCCCAGTTATAGACGGGTCAACTGAAGGTCCGTATTTCCGTCGCTACGATGATAGGGACATCCCCCCTTATTACGACGTCAATTTGGGGGTGGAGACCCTTTATTTCACCGGGAGAGACGTGACTGGCGGGTATTTTGTGATCCAGAGGAAAGAAAAGTCGTCATAAAGGAATTGCACGGTGGGATCGTCGGCGGTCACCGTGGGGTAAAGGGGACGTTTAACAAGGTTCGGAGACTTTATTGGTGGGACGGGCAATACGCGAAGATTGAAAAATATTGCTTTACTTGCGACGTTTGTCAAAAAAGAGCAATAGTCTATTACAAGGAGTTTTTTTTTCCGTGGTTTCCGACCGCACCTAGGGAGAAGGTCCACATCGATCTAATAACCATGCCAAAGGGGGAAGGGAGTTTGCGATACGTTATTAACGCCCACGACGATCTTACGGGATTCGTGGAAGCAAGGACCATTAAAAAAAAAGGACTGCGGAAGAAATTGGCGACTTTCTACTATAATATATTGCTAGGTACTGATGCGTAGGGAAAATTGTCATGGATAGGGGGGGTGAATTCACAAATCAGAAAGTAAAAGAGATATTAGAGAAGGCGGGGATCAAGGCGGCTTATGCAACCGTTTATCATCCCCAAAGCAATACACCAATGGAGCGAGGGCAGCAAACATTGGTAGAAGCCTTGGCACAATCGTGTAAGGGTCGGGAGAGCGAATGACCGCGTTTTCTGCAGTATGCCGTTTGGGTGGATAATATGACGGCCAAATCGAGCACTGGGTACCCCCCTTACACCTTGTGGTTCGGCCGACATTGCCCCTTGCCTATCGAATTTCATGTGGACACCTGGACGAGTGTCTCATGGAAGACCAATATGACAAGGGGGCGAGCTGTTAGAAACAAGGTTGCAACAGATAGCCGAGAATCTAGACGCTGGCATGATGGAGGTCACCCAAATCTTTGAGAAGGCAAGAACTTAAGCTTATTGCTACCTCCCTTCCTGATAAAAAAAATTTGTTCACGTAGGCACTTTCGCACGGTTCGGCTATGAACGTCCTGATTTTCTCCTTTATGAAAGCGACTATTTTCTCCTTCTCTTTCTGAGCATACTTCCACGGGGGTCTATCCTTCCATGGCACATGAGGGATGGTATGAATTCTTGCAGGCTTAGCATATCTTGAGTCTATACTCCCTCGCTCTGAGTCATCAAAGGCTATGACCTTATCGCATCCCCTCAGGACCTTGATTACATCTTCTTTTTCCCTTTTCGTGATGTTACCATCCCCTATATCCACCTTTTCGACCCGTTGGGCAGTAATTCTTTAACCCTCCTTCTCTTGTCGCCTTCTGATGATCTCGGTTATTTCTTCCTCCGAAATCGTTGTTTCCCCTGTCCTGTTCCGGCTGACCGCGGCGGGTTTTACTTTCTCCGCTACGGTTTTGTGTTTTCTATCTCCGCCGCCTAGAGAGATTCCTCCAAAAAAGACAGCTTAACACATCCCCCGACCTCCTCATCCTCAAACTCCTTCTCGTACCCTACCCCATTGATCACAATCCGATCTCCGATTTATTCGACTTCCACTTTGTCCTCTGGAGACATTTTGCCAGAAAAAAGGGTCTCATCTAGGTGGACTTGGCATATCCTATACCAACCACCTCCTTTCTTCGGGATGCTCATGCGCTTACGCTCATCTTGAGTGTCCAGAGTCCTGAGAACCACACGTATTCCGTCGGGGGATTGAATGGAGAGCATCCGACTTCCGTCCAGAAGATCGACCGTAGTAGCGTGCAACTCGCTAAGCCAGGTACGACCAAGTATCAATTTGGATGAGCACTCCCTTACTGAAAAGATCGGCATGCTAGTTTCTACCCCCGCGACTTCGATTACCGACTTATGACAGACCCCTTTCAGCTGGTTGTAACTTTTTATCCGATATGACCATGGACATATCGATTTCCTTATCCATCTTTAGACCGAACTCTTTGGCAATTGAGTTTCGGCAAACGGTCGATTCGGACCCATTATCTACTAAGACCCTCATGTCTCTCCCATTAACCATAGCCTGAAGTTTACCACTGCCTAGCGCATGAAACCTCTTCACCTCCTCTTCATAGAAGCAACTCGTCGATAGACTCTCCATCGTGATTCTCAAGGACAGTGTCGTCCCGGGTTGGACGCTTTCTTTGGATACTACATTACCCGAGACGGTTGGTCCTTGGGCCAACTCTCACCTTCTTGGTGATACTCAAAAGTTCTTCCCTTCCATTCTTACTAGCCGTTAGGTACTCCAGCAGCGAGCATTGCATGGGTTGCATCAGAGTCCGCCTGAGAGGGGTCACAGTATCTATTTCGTCCAGGGTACATTTCATCTCAAATTTCTTTGGTCCCCTCTTCTGTGGCGAGGTGAAATTTTCTTCCGCCTTCTTTTTCTCCTCTATCTTCGCGTCCGTCATTGCTTGATCTTCATCTGTACTGCTCTTCCCTGGTGCGGTTTCTTTCTCTCCGGAAGAGCTGGCCCTGACTTGAGTTCTCACTCGTAAGCATTGATCCACTTTCACTTCCTCGAGAGAAGTCTCAATAAACTTGATGCTGGAAACTTGGGGCTCTCGTATGGAGATTCCTTTGGTCGGATTGGGTTTCGACACCTGAAGTCTGGATGTCCTTGCCGTCCCACTAGTCTCAGGTCTCTTCTTGAACTTTTCTTCTTGTAAGGCGATCCTTTTATCCACGTTCACCCTCATGGAAGGGTAGAAGGAAACCGGCTCTCCGTCATCAGCCCACACCACCCACTTATTTTCATTCAACTTCACGGCCCCCAACCTCAGAGCCTCCGCGAGGTGCGGGCATTCGCGCTTGATATGGTTTTCCTTGTTGCAATAGACGCAACCAGTCCGAGGGGTATGGTTGGGCGGACGGGCCCCGATGGAGGGTGCCGAGTTAGCAGTAGACCCAGCGTCAGGTGGAGGAGGAACCCTTGCAGGGTGCTCATCCGACCTTGGTCCTGATGGCTTATTTTGAGGAGGGTATCCCCACCAACCACCCCTCGCATCCTTCCAGTGGGAATTCCCCCAATCTGATCCCCTGTTGCCTCCATTGTCTCGGTTGTTTCTCCATGCCCCTTGGTTTCCCCGTCCGGGCTCATTTCTCCAATTTCCTTGGCCTCCACCCCAGCGCTGACCGGGAAATCCCTCAGGGGGTCTATTATTCC